CCCTTAGATCAACATTAACTCCTGGAGGATCAAGACCCGGTTCCAGACCAGGATCAAGGGCAGGATCTAAACCACCATCTAGGCACGGATCAAATCTTTCTTTAGATAGCACCGGTACGTCATATTTAACAAAAAGAAATCCTTCAGTATTTTTTCTTTTATTTAAAAATGTACAATGATTTATTTTAGACGATGTTTCAACGCCATCTCGCATTCCGATGCGTAAAGTGACTAACACAAGGGCGTCAGTAGCCCGCGCGGCCGCCACTGCCAGCAAGCTCGGCGCCAGCACGCCCAATGGGGGCTCCCGGCCCAGGACACCCACTGGACTGCTCACCCCGGCTAGTGGAAGGTACGTTACATTATATACTACTATTAACTGACAGGAATCGGAGACTTTTGTTAATTGTAACATAGATTTATACTTTAATTAGAGGTCTATAATGATTTTACATTTCGCCCGTGACGGGACAGGTTTACAAGTGGAGGGATATACCGCACTTCCAGTATACCGACACTGTCCCCGGTGCCGGCGCTCGTGAGGTACACACTGATTGGTGTTTGCTCGTGCCTTGTTTGTATAAGGGTTTTGTAGTGATCGCAATTAGTTACTTCACTTTTGTTTTACTAAATCTCGTTAATAACTTTATAAGGTTAGAAATTTCAAATTGCGATCAACACTTTGTGGGATACACCGAGTTGAAGTGGCACGTTTTGCTTATGGAGTATTTATGTAGTGACGACAATAGCAACGTATGTCATCAACGCATTGACTCGCTGGACGCTGTTCTATTGGAAGTCTATTTGTCTGGTGGTGGGATTTCAACTTTGTACAATTTTGTATCGTCTAAGCCAAGCAAAGCACGTTGAAGTAGTTCGATGAACATAACACAGCTTTAAATCGTTTCAAGCCTGATAACTAATCTAACAAAATTATATTAATACGTAAAGGTTTCAGTATTTTATGATATTAAATAATTGTATTTTTTCCTTCCCGCATGCAATACGAAAATGGATTAAAAAAAAACAGTTCTACACATTCCCAGCCGTCCTCAGTGGCGTCTGAACATCCCAAATCTTTATCACACAATCATCCAGCCTTCCAAACCCAAGGGTCCACTAAAATTCCAGTTTATGTCGGTAACCGATCTCAAAGATCTCCCTCCGTCGATAGAAGTTTAAAAATCTCACGTAAATCTCATTCGAGGGAGATATCTCAAGAACCCAGTCCCACTTCCTACGATCCTTCGCGGAAATCCGACCCGAGGAGTCCAGAAGACGATTCCTCACTATTCAGCATATCGGGAATGACGAGCGACAATGAATGCGAAAGTAACATGAGCGAGTCGAGTGGCGACGCGCCAAAGACGACTCAACGCGACGGCAAAGGGTACATTCCTCTACAATGTTAGCTATGGTTTTGCCCGATTGTTTTATTGATGCTGTTTAAAGTTTGATTCTTTTGGTTGTGTTCACGGCATCGCCATTCATAGTCACATGAGCGTCGTTGAACTTTAAAATCTCTCGCGAATGCTTCTCAGCTATCATTTTGCTTCTCACTTTCAGTTCATTCATCACAGTTTACGTCTAAAATCAACACATGCACCCCATCCAACATACTTAGGAACTGTCGTATATTTTTTGCTACTTGAATGTTTTTATAAGGCCATAATATATTTACATTAATCATGAACTTAACTGTTTTATATTTTATATCCGGCTTTGTATGTGCACTTTTTTACACGCTTTCCCTAACACAAAATCTATGCTATATGTATTGTTTTGTGAGATTTCGTATTTTTCAAAAACGAATAATTAAAGAGGCTTAATTCTTATAAGCTTAAATTATTGTGCATAGTCACAATATCTAATTTCTTCTGCTTTATTATGATGTAATGTCTTTCTCTGTCTATATTGCTGTCTCACGTGCACTGTTTGTTGTTTGCGTTGTATTTGACAATTACATATTTGTACTGCTTTTTAAATCAATATATCAATATTTTACCTTTACTGAATAAAATATCAAATTCGAATGAAACCTATATTTTTCGCGTTAATTCCAAAATACAGTAGCATGTGGGGCCGCAAGTAAATATTAAATACATTATATATTCTGTTACTAAATTTCTATACGTGTATGCACACTAACATCGTCGTAGGAGCGGCTCGTTTGCCTTCGCCGAGGGACAAACGCCCGGCCGAAGTCGCATACCGGTTCTAAAGGACCAGCACACTAACAGTAACCTTACTAGGTAATCTTTCCCTTTCTTTTACATGTAGATGACAGTTCTTGGTAGTTTCATGTTTAGGTAAAATATTGAATGGGTTTCTTTGGGATGCATGTTTTCGTGATGTCATGAATATAGTTGTGATATTGATCGTATAGGCAAAGGACGCCTTCGGGCAGCAGCACGCCGGTGCGTCCGGGCCAGCAGACCGCCACCTCGCGACTGCTCAGAAAGAAGTCAGACGCGTCAGATAGCGGAGCTCCTACTACGCCTCTGACACGACGCGGGACTCCGGCGAATCGAACTACGGAAAAACGCGAACCATTCCGACTGTAAACGAATTTTGACTCGACTAATCGACAAAATTGGGTAGTTATTTCTCAATTTTGTCGCTTATCGATATTATACTGTGTTATGACAGACGCTTTGATACAGAGTTAATATATTTCAAATGATTATTTGCGTTTTTAAACAATATATTAGCCAGATATAAAATTTGCATATTAAAAAAATTAGAAAAACCACAAAAATAAAGTATCAAAGGGTCTAGCTTAGTACATTAAGTGCCGATATGTCTATTGGATTATACTAACATTAAAATTAACCTGTTCGCGAATGAAGCAAAGCTTTTAAAGAATTTGCGAATGTGGCTTTTAAATAGGAACAACGATGATAGTAGTGAACATAAAGTCTGCACTCGTTGCCTTGTACTGCTTTTCTACAATCCATGCAAATTACGTTTTACTTATTTGTATTGCCAGTATTTATTCTCTGTAGAATCCAAAACGACATTTTCTTTCGTACATTGCCTTGTGAATACGTTATTCTTATTTATTGTCGACGTTGCCATAATTGTTAGTGTATTTTTTTGTATGTTAAATACGTATAGAGTCTCTCTGAGGCCGCAGGAGTGAGAGTTGAAAAGAATTCTTTGTATTTATTTCTTTAGGGACCATTTTGTTTACGGAATATTGACTATACTCGATCACCGTCCACGGGTTTCCTTCTCGCGGACGTCGCGGTAGTTTCGCCAGACTACTGTGTCGTTGCAGGCTGGAAATCGGTCGTTGGTGATCCTTTAACGTGATAATAGGTATATTAATTCATTTTTTTGCACAATCATGGTTCTTTTGTCGTTTTTTTGTGTTCAAATGAATGCTGTTTTAATTTGACAATTGTCATTTTAGGTATATATACTTTCGTATGTGATTTATTTATACTACGATTTCTGCACAATGTTTTGTATGTGAGTAGGTGGTGTAGCGGGAGATGGAGGTGTGTAGAGACTGTCGCCAGAGTCTCGTCACGCCGACATCGACCTGCTTCTAAGTAAAAAATTCCATAGCGGACTTTAATTTTAAGAGAAGTAACTAAAGTACACTTGTCGAAAAAAGACATTTCCTTAATAAAGCTTAGAATACTTTTAATATATAAAATAAAGAACGCTTAAAATGTAACCTTCCTTCATTTATAAATGTTAACCAACACTCACATTTATTTGTTAATTTAATTATAAATCTGACTTTACGATTAAAATCTTATTATTATTAGTAACTATTGTAAAACTATTAATCTGGTCATTTTTATTTAAATCATTGTTGTATTTGTTAAATATAAAATGAAAGCAAATTTACTAAGCTTGCAATATTTTTTGTATAAAATAATGATTCTTAAGAGCAACAGTTTTAAAAATCTCATTATTGATTTCAGAATAAACAAATAACAATTATTTACTTTGTTTAATTTTGTTTCCTATACCTCTGTCTTTTTATTGCACGCTAATGGCCTAATGAGTAGCGTTAGGAAGTTCTCCAATGCCTAAGAACAATAACAACACCAGAATACGACAATTATGATGTCCAAACACTAAACCTATAACAACTTACTCGTTTTTTGACCTACATCTTCTGGAAATCAACAAACTTGAAATTTTGTAGATAAATAGAAGTAAGTAGAAATGTACAATTAAAGAAAATCTAAAATTTAGAGGTTTGTTACTTTTTCAAACACAAAATAGGAACCATTTTAATTTAACCCCTAGAATGAAGTATTCTGAGGCTGAAGGCTCCAAAGTAATTTACTTTATGACGACGAAAATTCAATTAGGATATCCTACAAAAAGAAGTGAGATCCACAGAGTATAAAATTTATAAAAAAATTGCCGAGCCTTTCTCTACAACAATGTGTTAGACGTAATGTAAAACCTAGTAGTTACCTAGCTAAAATGCCAGTACTAACACTAATGTAACGTAAGTGATACTCGGCTGTTTATTATCTTCTCCGGACTCAAATTCAATGCAATGTTATTTTATTTCCTCTACACAGTGTTTGCACGTTATTCCAAAAGCAGTTACTGATCAACGGTTTCTTTAAGGTTATGCTATAAACTATTTCCCGTTATTTTTCCGTATTGCAACACTAAAGTTCGATGACAAAAAGTAAAAACATTTCCGGTTTTGGCATTTGATTTGACATTTGACAGTGACAATTCGAAACTTTTAAAAAATAAAAACAATTACATACGAAAACCATAGTTTCTTTGTATTTGGACCGATTTATTTCATAAAGTTCATAAAAAGAATAGAAAGAACCCAGTAAAATGGTTGGAATTAGTATGGATGGCCCATCACGAGATCAAGTAATGAAACTTATCGAAGAGAAAGATAGAATCGAAAGAGAAATTCGTGAGCAAACAGCTATACTTGAGTCGAATAATGTGAGCATGCATGATTCTCTGGTGGACAGTGATGGATATCCGCGTAGCGACATTGATGTGTACAAAGTTAGACACGCCCGACATCAAATTATATGTAAGTAACACTGCAAATGACTAAGCAACTTTTGTATCCAGTCTATATTGTTTACTTGTGGCAATAGTATGCTCATCTCTTAAAGTGACTATAATTTTAGGTCTACAAAATGATCACAAAGCAATAATGAAGAGGATAGAGGAGGGTCTTTGTAAAGTTCATTCTGAGTTCCGCGGCTCAAGTAACACTGGTTCGCAGCAAGCCACCTCTGCATCATACACTAATGGCCATGCTATGAACGATATTAACAGACCTGTAACTGAAGATCGGTGTTTTGCTATTGTTGGATTTGTCCATGATGGCTCTCCTGCTGATCTTGCGGTGAGTATTTACTTGACTAGGATTTGGAAAATGTTCTATTTTAAGTCGAAATGAGGATGTCTTGCATATCAGCTGTGCAAATGTGAAGCAGTTCAGCACACTTTGTACTATGAACTGTTAAGCTGGTTCAAAAATTTACATCTACTTCTAAGTCATAAAATACCTATACTTTTGTTTCAGGGTTTGTCAGTAAATGACAAAATCCTTCAGTTTGGATCTATCAACCATAGTAACTTCTCTGATGTGACACAAGTGAATCAAATAGTCTCACATTCCGTGGGTCAGAGGATAGAGGTCAGGGTAAGAAGGGACCAGAATGTCATATCTCTCACTGTAGTTCCTAGACCTTGGGCACATCCTGGTCTTCTCGGCTGCCAGATCAGAACATATACAGTGTCATAAGGTTTACTATGTTTTGGAATATAAGGGAGATTTGTATTGTGTTAAATTAAGTTGAAATGTTAATTGAATTAAATGAATGTAAACTTATTAGAATAACTCTTTTATTTCTTTTATAAATTATATTGTTTAAAAATAAATTTTATGGTTAATAACCATAGCTTTTGATTTGTTCTCCTTTGAGTGCCTTTCTATGATGTCTGCTACATCCAACTTTTCAAATGTCAATTCAGGGACATCTACGTCGGCTTCTATGTCATCTTTGTTGACATCCTCATCAGGATATGTATATTTCATAGAACAATCGAAGTAGACCTTGTCATCTACTAGTCTGTAGTCTGGTTTAGTTATTGTACCTCGAACGCAATCATGGTAGTGGCAGACGATTTTCTCTTGCTCGTAAGTTTCACATGATCCTGTAATACAGAATTAAAATAGTTTTAGTTATTTAACTAAATAATCGAGAATCTGTTGAGTGTGCTAGATTTGTCGTATTATCTACAAGTATTAAATCCTAGATTTTTCTTTCACAATTGTGTTCTTGCTAGAAAATTAGTAATAGCGCTGATAGAAACTACTCCGTTGTCGGTTCCTAACATCTCACTTTTTAAACACAATGTTGAGTGGAGCAGGGCTTATAGAAGAACAAACATTACGCAAGCAATGCTAAAGCCGTGCAAAAACAGGAACAATATAGTTACCAGGTCTTTGTACTCGTACAGTAAGTACCGCGCGCTCTGGAGCCATGTTTTTGAAGTGTACGAGATAGCAAGCGAGCATAGTGCCCGTGCGCCCCCGGCCATGCCGGCAATGAACGCCAATAACCTGAAAAATGTACGCTTATTAGTAAATGAATATTTGAAATTAAATAATACAACTTTTCGTATAAAGCACAAATATGTTCACGTCTTGTAACTCTCAAGATTAAATAATTTTATATTTTAATAGTAGTAAAACAGAACTACGATAACTTTTAACACACTAACCTATCAATAAAATTAGTTATTGATAGGTTAGCGTGTCGTATTAATTATTCGTTGTGTTATGAATTATACCAATGAATTCATTTTAGCTCATAAGTATGGAGCGTTAGGTGAAAAATATAAATTATCTCCTTACCTCTCCCTTAATTTCCGCTCTTTCACAAATTTCAATAAATTTTATAATTTGCTTTAAAGTAGGTGCCCCAAACTCTTTTATACCGATTTCTGTCCATTTTAATTTTCCGTCAAAATTGTAAATTGGCGGCAATTTTTCTGGTGACAGAGTAATCAAATGATTGATGCCAGAGTCAACTAGGTAATTCAAATTCTCTATGGTTTGCGGCCACCCCATCGCCGCAATTTTTCCCTTCACAAACCATGAAAAATTGTAAGGTGGATATGATTCACATTCTTTCTTTTGTTCTTCAGGCTGCTGTTCTTTTATTTCGTTTGTCTCATCTTTGGGAGTTTTATCCGCATATTTGTAAAATAGTTTAGCAAGTTTTACATTCGTCCTTTTTGGTACAGTGCTCATAGTAACTTTTGTTAAATGAAATAAAGAAAATTATTAGAATCTAATCTGAAAACTAATTTCACAATTATAAAAATATTCTACTTGCGAAAATACAATTTTAAAATGTCCTTTTCGTTATGATCAAAAAATCCTTTTTGTTTCATCATCAGCTCACTATACGACCCTAATCTCGAAGTTCTGACTCTGACCCTACCCTAAGTTAGGGCTGACCAGACCATAGACAACCACGCTAGCCCACTTTGTGTTAGTTTGTTCCTTGCTTATTTGTTTAAGCAACAATTTTTACCATAGTTACGTCGTATTTAAGCAAGAATTAAAATAAAAACCATTTCCCAAACCTACCTCAAAAATCGTTAATCCACAACTACAGAGTAATAAATTAACTCGAAGCACATAAAAAACTTCTAATACGATGTGAAAATAAACAGAAAACCATAGACATACTAAAAACACGGGCGCAAAATTAATGGCGTTATTTTCGCTGCCACCTTGCCCGCCGTCTCGCTGCTGACGTCATACGCTGGTTGGGAAGTCTGCCAAGAGCCAGGAGTATTGGCAAAGGCAATTGGCATCGACAGATTTGTGTCACATGCTTTCACATGTGTAGTGTCAAGTACATTGTGCTGAATGCTATGTAATTGGTGATTATTATTTCACTTATTAAAATTAAAAGATGCACTTACCATGTTTTGTTAGGTTGATGTATTAAGCATTTTAACAGTGGTAGAGTCCTCTTTAACATCTTTGCACGAATGGGCCGGCTCGCCCGATGCAGTACCACGACCACACAGAAAAAAAGGCGTGAAATGGAAGTAATTCCGCGTTTCGTCTGATGACTGTGATGCCGGAGGCCTAATTTTAGTCTCTTTCCCTTTCCACCTTTTTCTTAAGAGGAATTGATGGAAAAGAAAAGTGGATTAGACTGTGGAGGAGACGCATAGGAAGGGGAAATGTTCTCTTTATGTGCGTCTCCTCTTCCGTCAATTAAGGGCAGGCAACGCATCTGCAATTGCGGATGTTTATGGGCAGCGGTCGCTTTCCATTTCGGTGGATTCAGGTGGCCACTTGCTCGCCATTTTATATTATAAAAAAGCCATTTGCATATCCTCACTTATCCTCTACTAGTACGGTCTTGGTGTGGTTGTAAAGTAGAAGCGTAAATGCACAATGTAGCACTTAGTCTGATTACACGAGAACAAAAATAGAAATACCTACATACGTCAGTTGAAACAGGAAGACATGAACACGTAAATCAAAAGCGAAATCGCTTTCAATTCAAGTAATTGTAAACATTAGGAAATTCATCCTGCTATGATAAAGAAAGTCTTAATTTTATTTTAAAAGTTGAAAACAACTAAAAAGGAACGTACTTGACCCATAAAGCATAGCTATTCGTAATCAAGTTTATATGTTTTTATAAATCATTTATATTTATCACAGGAAACGGAAGACAACAATGTAGATAATATTAAAATAATCTTGTCAGAAAACTTTTTGGCAAAGTATCAACAAATCTTATAAATTATCACGATGCCAGCTTTTCTGTTTATAAAAGTTTATTGGATAATATAAAGCAGGAAATGCTTGTTAGAAAGATTTATTTATGTTTTGTAACATAGCTTTTTATTTGTTAATTCGAAGTCAATTATATTTGATCGTAAGAAATAATTCTGTATACTGATTATTATTAAATCCTGTTAGTGTTAAATTGAAATATAAAATGTTACACAACGTTTAAAAACATCGATAAAACAGTTTATTGCATTCAGGTACAATATTTTTTCAATATAGATTATAAATAAATCACAATACAGCATGATCACAGACAGATGGCGCTGGTCTAGAGAATCCGTTTAGTGCTTTCTCTGGCAGCTTCTATAAACTCTTCCATCACCTCACCACTGACACCGAACCTCAATGGATTGTCTTCTGTCAGGTGTTCGAAATATTTATCGACCACTTCCTCTTGTTCCGGGAAGTCCAATGAACCTGCAGATAGCAGTAAATCCATGTTTATGTTATGGAATCTAGCGAAAATGGCCACTTTCGATAAATTCCATCGCCATTGGAGAATACAAAGGTTGTTTTGCCAATGAAAGTAAGATCAAAGAAGTGATTAACTATGGAGTAATGGAAGTCTAAGAGTAGTTTTCTTCATTTAAATTTTCATTCATAATTCATAAAAATATATGAAAAAAAAACGAATTGAATGTCTTCAGAGTGGGAAATTACCTGGCCTCATCATGCGGATGACGTTGGAGGCCTGGTCGGGCAGGAACCTGTGGAAGTGCACGAGGTAGCAGGCCAGCATCACGCCGCAGCGGCTGCGCCCTTGTCGGCAGTGGATACCCATCACCTGATACCATCAAGTTCCACTTAAGATCTTTACTGAATGTGTTTAATATTTGAGATTCCTAATTTATAGTCAATCCAACTTCATATGTTCTATTGTGCGATAGATATCATCAGGATTGCAAGTCTATTCTAAATTACGTATGATTCTGGTAATAGGGTGTTGCTATTTTAAGATAGAGAATGCATTAACAAAGATATTGATAATTGATATTAGAGCCAAAGTTATAAATGAAAATTAATAAAAGCTGTATACAAACATCAAATACTTAATTTAAAAGAAGGTTATTTACTTTCTCTACTTAATTCTTGAAATGAGATAGTTTTTCGTCAAATCGAATTATACCCAATAGTAATTTACTCACCTCGCCATTTTTGTCCGCTCTTTTACAAACGTCAATGAATTTTTTTATTTGTTCTATTGTCGGTAACTCGAACTCTTCTATCGGTATTTCTGTCCACCTTAATCTGGCAATATCGTCTACGGGAGGTTTTTTCCCCGCTGCCAGTGTTACCAGATTCGTTATACCTTGATTTACGAGAAACTGCAAATTCTCTTTATTCCTAGGGAACGCCATGGCTGCCAATTTTTTTGGAATAACCCATGAAAATTTGAGTGGTGGGTATGCCTCCACTGCTATTTCTGGGAATGGATTTTCTGGTATTATAACTGTTAGATCATTTCTTATTTCCTTTTTAGCGCCAGCTAAATGTATATCGTCCTGTTCTGTGATACTTTCCATCCTCATGTACACTTGAAAACCGTCGTCTGCCATATTGAATTGTCAAAATCTAATTTTTCCGCGTCTACAAACGTCAAAATATACTTTTAAGACAATATTTACGCTATAACACTTTCGATTCTGACCATCGGGCACGGTTATCGCGTGTTGACTGACGTTACGCATCTAGGACGGGAACTTGGCACTGAAATTGTGATTCTGGAGAGGGTGTAATATTTATTTCTGGAGTAACAAACCTTGGTATCAAAGATTGAAACAAAGACTTTCATGCGAAAAAGAACTCTATTCCAATACCATAGAGAATAGTGTGACGTTTGTGATATTAATAATCTGTGGTCGTTTACCGCCGAAAGCGACAGGTGCATTAAAACATTGGCTTGTAACATCATTATAGAAACAATTATTTTTCGCCAAGCAATCTATCTTTAGTTTATAAGATACGGAATTAGTCTATTAATATTGTTTATCGACTCTAAATGTACTATATTTGGCAAAAAGATTACGTTTTATTTGTACTGTAAAACGTACATGATGAACTAAAGGACAAATGAAGAATAACGAACACACATATAATTGATATTGGAGGAAAAGTTAACGATGTTTGTGTATAGAAATTATGACTATATAATAATGATTTTTCGGTTAAACTTGTAGATGAAATTTTCTTAATTCACCTTTACTAGTTCACCCAAAATAGAATTTTTCATTCAAACATATTAATACTTTAACATAACGTGTTGCAAAATACTAGTACCGTGTATCCATAAAAAGCAATATCTATATTTAACTTTGGAAAAACACAACACTATCGCTACGTACAAACACTACAAATGTCATTGCCTTTGTATTCAAAATAACTCATCTGTCAACACTTGCCAAGGGATTTTAGTTCGATGTTCACTTACAAATATAGTTATGAGAAAGTTACTATAAATAAAACAAATCAGACCGCACTCAGAGTTCTACGCGGTCACTAAGGGTGTCCTTATTGTCGTCTATTAAATAACTGAATAGGGATATTGAACACTTCAATATGACCGAGAGTTTGTTCCGTTTTAACAGTGGTAGAGCTCGCAACATCTGTTGCAGGAACATTCCTCTCTTCATAAAGAGGATAGACGTGAAGTGGAAGCAATTCCGCGTTCATGTGCGTCACCAAGAGTGGTCGGGGACATATCAAGGATTGAGGAAAATAAAATGCATCATCAATAAGAATATACTTTATTACAATGGAACACAAGAGTAACTAGAGAGTAAATAATCTGTATCACCATTGCAAAACGGAACCATCCACAAACAGTCCAAAAACACAAACTAATCGCATTCCCACAACATCCGTGTAAACGCGCTCTAAGGCATCTTGTGATTATCAAACAATTAAGTACATTTTCCTTATAAAAAGTGATAGAAAATACACAATAGAAATAAAGTGCTAACAATATTAAGTATATAATAAAATAATACATTATTAAACTAACGTAATCCACTGCAATGACATTTGTATATTTGTATACATTCCGGACACAAAGTAGAGAGTATACAAGTGTCATTAGAGTAGAATTTTAAATCATAGTTTAAAGCGAGAATAATTGATTTTATATTCATAAACCCACAGTCAGGGGTAGTAAACATTTTTAAAACACTGTACAAAGTGATTTGTAGTGTTACAAAATGTTTTATTTCCAATTTATTATTTATATTTTTTTAATTTAAAATACTGAAACATGTACTAATTAAGTTGGAATGTTTTTGTTTATAATTAAAAAAAATTTAGTAAATATTTGTAAATATCAAAAGTTGATTGTTGTTGTTTTAGCGATTCCGTACTATTTGGCAATCTGATAGAAATATATTTAAATTATTACTGAAGGGTTATAATTCATAATTTAAAATAATACGTATTAAAAGGAATCTTACATAGGTTGTTGTTTAAACAAATATTTACTTTATTAAAATGTTTCGAACCCCTGAATAATTCATTGATATAACCAATTAAACCCTCCAATCTACAGTCCATTTACAACTTAATTTACAAATTGTGGTTGATTTTAAGAATATATTACGCATAGCTCTTTTGATATGTGAAGAAAAAGTTACCTTTTGATAACTTATAAATTCATTAAACATAGCTTAATCGAGAATACAAAAAACCTTGACTGAATTACGACCTTCTTTAGAACTAAAAGGAATTATTTATATTTTTCCAAAATATAACCTTACAAATAAACACAGAATAAAATCAAACTTAGGAATAAACCGAGAATAAGCAAATATTAGTACTTTTGCTTATACTCAGTTTATTCCTATGTTTAACTTTACACCGCGTTTATTTGTAAGGTTGAAGTATTTATATTCTCAAACTCTTAAAATAAATAAACATAGAAAATACTCAAGAATACTTTGACCAATACAATTACATACATTGGTTCATACATTTCGGTTACGACTAACTATTGATTTCGGCGGATCTGCTTACTGCCTTATGTTATAACCAATTTTTTTATATCTACATTAAAAAAATGGTTTTATTTATATGTCGTTTTGTCCAAAAGGCAGTAACAAAGGCCATGTATTTATCACTAAAGATGTTACATAAATGTCTAAATGCATACCAAAACTGGGTTTTATTTTGCCTAAATAAAAGAGATTCTAGGCAATAATGAAATGTTCTTTTTTTTAATAATGGAATTTAAACCGCTTTTCCACTAGCGCTATATTAGCAACTAATTTTAATAACGCGACCGCTATGTAAAAAATATAAAAATAGTACAAAATGATCCAACTTTAGTATAAACATGAAAACATGATTGACAAATGATTTCTGAACCACTATGCGTGTGAAATAACATGACGTGTGATGACGTCATAAGCTGCGTAGCTAAAAAGATGTGTCCCATGCAAATTTTTTATCGTACTCGAATATCAAAAAAAATTATAATTTATAATGCACTGCACTCTTGTCTAATATATGAATTACCATAGACAAAAATCTTGTACAAAACATTTTTGGAGAAAAAAAAAACAAGAATATTTTTTGCACAATTCTTGCGCCAGTTTAAACACTGAAAGTAATTACTATGCCTAATAAATATATTTGAAAAAACATTTTTACCTAAATATTAAAAGAATGCAGTTTTTTTGCATAATTTTTCGAGTCTTAACTATAACAAAATGGATGGAATCCCTCAATTACCTACAAACTAAATTATTGTCTGAATTGAAGAGAAAATTTTTCGAGAAGTCGATCTACAATTCATTTTATATATATTTTTAATACTTTTAGGAATGTAATATAGGAAGTTAGTTTCAATATAAATACTATTTAAGATACTAAGAGTTACGAAAAATTCATAAAAAAATTATCACTTAAAAAATCACGGAAAAAAATATAAAAAAATGTAATGATTCAATTTAACGGACTTTATCTCTATTTTTATAGTATAATTAAGTAACAATGAAAGTGTTATGCAACAAATGAGCAGTTGTCAAATATATTCGACCAACATTTGATCAAACATTGGTCCAAACTACCAAAAAAATTTACATTTTAGGATTTTGACAATTCAAGACTTAATGAGTTGACATATAAAAAACACAAATAGACTTTAAAAATACATCTTCATTGCACTTACATATAGATATATAACAACTATTATGTATACATAATTGAGCCAATTATAACAGCTTTAGGCACTATCGGAACTACAAACCGGTCTATTACCCTGACAAAGGGCCTGTCCCACAACTATCTGATAGCTCAGATAGCTTATGTCACTGATAAGGGAACAAAATCCGATATTTTCATCACATATATTACATTTGGATTATCAGACAATTTTGACAGGCCCTTAATGTTTTGAAATGCATTATTTATTATAAGATTGCGTTACACTCAGAGTCATTAAATGGTCACCTTTGTTATTACATTAAATTACTAAGTGAACTTTTTAACAAAATATCAACAGTGGTAGTGCCCGCTTTAACATGTTAGCAGTGCAGGGCACGCCCCCAGTAATACCACGACCACACAGAAGACAGCCGTCAAATGGAAGTAATTCCGTGTTTCTGATGAGTGTGGTGCCGGAGGCCTAATTTAAGTCCCATTCTCTTTACCACCCTTTTCTCACGAGAGGATGGGAAGGAGAAGTGGATTTGACGGTGGAGATGCATAGGAAGGGGAAATATCCTCTTTATGTGCGTCTCCTCCGTCGGATAAGGGTAGGCAACGCATCTGCAATTGCGGATGTCTATGAGCAGCGGTCGCTTCGCCATTTTGGCGGATTCAGGTGGCAGCTTGCTCGTTTGCCATCTTATGATATAAAAAAAAAGGTTTAACTTCTTGTCAAGGTAGACATTATGTAATTAACAAGATTTTTAATGATTGTATACTTATTGATATTTGTATAATAAAGTCAATTCACATGACATATTAATATTAGATGATTTTTACATTATTTTATTTATATATATAAAAGAAATCCTATTTTCAAATAACAAATGGACCGATTTCGCTATGTTTTTGTTTGTAATTGTCTGAAGTTTCTTATGAAATGGAAAATAAAAATCTTGATTAAAGGAATATACAACATAATATAGGCTTTTAAGTTGGTTTTTTAATTCCACGCGGACAAAGTCGCGAGATAAATTTAGTCTAAAATTATCTATACTATTATAATAAAGCGTAAACACACACTTCTTTGTTGCCTAAGATGTCAGCAATTATAGCATATTTTTGAACAGTTCTTTTGCCATAAAAAGTCCTAAACTTACGTCACGCTTTAGGCTACATATTTTCACGCCATTAAACTTACGGGATAAATATTTTGGATAAAAACACTAATGTGGGAAAGAGACCATAAGTTGCTGCCAACATTAAGGAAACAAGATTGCCAAGGTTTGTCATGTCATGTCAGTTTGACATTTGCAATTGATAATTTGACAAATGTAAACAATAAATTAAAATTTTCATAATTTCATGCGGATGAAGCCGCACGGGAACAACTAGTAATTTATATTTCATTTAAGGCACTTAATATTACCTTAAAAATGTACTGACACTTATACACATGTTGCCATCCTACAAATGTCACTTCAGAAACCCATAGAACGTTCTAGAAATTTCGAGAATCTACGACTATCGTTAAAATCATGTGAATTAACTTTAAAACGAATTGCTCTCATTATTTCTAACTTATAAGCGATATTGTGACGTAACGACATATACTATTTTGACACGTATCTCTATAGTAATAAAGCGCACAATCGTCTACCACGATATAATGAGCACTGCACTGCACTAATTACGGAATGTTTTGCGATTTTGTGACCAATTACTTAGTAATTTCGGTTTAAAATCGCTTGTATTATAAATATTACACTGAATCGCAATATGGAATGTTTTTCTGTGATTTTAGGCCTTATTGCTTAGGCTTTTTGGTTTAAAATCGCTTATATTTCACTGCACAGGAGCTGTCTTTATGCGATTTAATGCTTTATTGCTTAGACATTTAGGTCTAAAATCGATCTTATTATCAAATTTCTTTTGGTAGTAAATATGGAATGTCTTCATGCGATTTTGATCCTAATTATTAGGACATTTTGGTTTCAAATAGCTTGTCTTTTAGGAATCATTGCAGCGTAAGTGTTAAATGCGATTTTGGTCATAATTATTAAATAATTTCGGTCTAAAACATTAGATTTTAGACGTTATTGCTTCGTTTTATAGTTTAAAATCACTTGTCTGTCTTTTTTAAACCTTATTGCTTAGTTGTTTTGGTCCAAAATCGCTTGTATCCTCGCCCGTCGATACCTGTCCAGTATGTACTAGAGATGCAGTACTTGGCCGTCGTCTTTGACGGGGATGTGGAAGGAGGGTTCAGGGTTCTGGTCCTCCAGGGTCACAGCCGTCAGGTCCACTATCTCATCCTGTTCGTCTTGATCGAATCTGGAATAGTAAAAATACTTCAAATTAATCATAGTAAAATTATAATTGAGAAAGTTTGGATGGATGGATGTTTATTATTACGTATCTACAAAACGGCTTAACATATCTCAATGATATTTGTCACAGATGTAGAACATATAGCCAATTTACTAAGTTTTTTCACTGCCTGCGGTCAAAAGCTATAAAGTTATAAAATATATAAAAAAAAAACAAGTACATTCTATCTGCGGTTACTCTCCGTCTTACTAATATTATAAATGCGAAAGTTTAGATGTATGGATGTATGTTAGTTTGTAGCCTAAACGGCTGAACGGATTTCTTCATAGAAATACGTTTTATTCCACATTTCATAATTAGGTATAAATGTAGACGATATTCTTGAAGAACACACATACTTGCTTTTCTTTTAATTCCACTCGGACGGAGTCGCTGGTGAAAGCTAGTAATCTATATTTTTATTAATATTATTAATATTATTTTTTATTTATATTAATATATTGATATTATTTCTTAACTTCAAGCAAACGAAGTCGAAAGCAATAGCTAGTCATTTATATCTTTAGTTTTTTTTATTTTTATTTTTCATTTCATTGTTTAGTGGATTTTTTTCTATTATACCTATCATCATCGTGTTCGCTGGAGGGCTGCGAGTGCTGCGAGTGCTGCGAGTGGCGCGAGGTCTCCGGCGGCGGCGGGCCAGCGCGCTGGTTTGCTGGACGGACTGTTATTATCAAATTCGAAGAGTTGGCTACCATCATATCTGTCACCTGGAAGTAACACATAAATGTTAGAAAAATGTATATTTTTAAGTCTATAATCCTGCAATTGTAACGTTTCTTTTCTAACAGCAATTTACCTAATCACCAGTGGAAATAATTGCCACTAACCTGAAAGACTAGAAAGAGAGTAAAAGAGAAGTTAAAGAAATCTACAAAGATGAAGATCGAAGAAAGTATGGATGGATTGTGTGTGGATATGCTTAAGGGAGTGAAATCAGATATGTAGCTGATAGAAATGTATGGAAGAACACATACCATCTATATATAGACCCTACTTATGGACAAGGACAAGTTGATGCCACTAACCTGATCCAATGTCTTATTGGAGACATCAATGCCATTAACTTCTAGCACCTCATCGTTGACGCCCAGCAAGCCAGTGGACTCCGCCAGTCCGCCGGGCACCAGCCGAGATATAAAGATGCCGGGGGAGCGCTCCACGCCATTTGGAGTTACACGCACCGATGTGCCGTCTCTTTAATATACAAATACAAGTAAAAATGATGGTTTTGCTTGCAAAAACACATATAACCATAATAATAGATAGCGGAAATCTATCGAATCGTTTAAGTTTATAGACTTCCATTAAGACCTATATAAAGTCGTTTTACAAAAGTAAACCTTTACATTTATATGTTTGTAACAAATAAACTCAAAAACTACTTTACTGATTTGAAGAATTCTTTCACCATTACAATGTTACATTATCCCCAAGTGACATAGACAATAACATTTTTTTTTTAATGTGAAAAAAGTGACCATAAACCAAATAACATACCTTATAAAGAATCCCAAAGGTCTGTCGGATCCGTGTTTGAGCAGTTTAACTCTTCTACACGTTTCCGGTACAATGTCTACGTCTATGATTGCTGAAACCTAGAAAAAGAAAACAATTATTATATCACTAGTTTTCATCCGCGACTTTGCCCGAGAATAAAAAAAAAGGTAGCCTAAGTTCTTCCAGAAAATCCTGTACATTTATGACTAATTGCATTTAGGCTACAAACTGTTACAATCCCATCTATCTAAACTTTCGCATTCATAATAAAAGTAAGAAATAAGATAGTAAGATTACAATCTACATACATATAATATAATTCAAGTGTCTGTAAAACACTGAAAAAAATCTCATTTCATGAACGAAATGTTATTGCGTTGCAGATACCGAAAGACCATTTTTTTTAATCATCGTTTTTTCGCAAGCCGTGTTGCATATAGATAGCTAGGTTTAAGATAGTTTAAAAAAAATCTTACCATTCTAAAGTCATGTGGATTGGATATAGCGAGTCCTTTGTTTTTCGCCGGCGTACCACTCAGTATTGACGAGATTATATTCCTAGGCCGCATAGTACCATATCCGTTGAGTTCTTCGAGACTGTCCCCTGGAAAGAAAAAAAAGATTGTTCTAGAACATTCACATAGCAATCGCGGAGATTAATTTCCTAACTATTTCAGTAAATGTCTTTAATGAAAGGTCGAAAGACATAGTTACATACTTAATAAAGCTCTTATGGTGAATCTGCTGGGTGAAGTTCTTTGATGGGTGGTAAATTAATTTCTTTGACTGGGATTTGTGAAAACCAGACCATATTGATTCAGAACCAACGGCTCGACATGTATAATAACTAAGGTCTGGCTGTCACTGGCTCGATAAGTTTACTTTCGTTAAATTTATAGAAACAGGAACCTAGTTTAACTTTTTAATTTTTGCTTTGATGCTCCTGATAAGATCTTTGACCATTTGTGACATATTAATCTACAATCCGCTTTGTCCCCACGTGAGAATAAAGTTTCATCCGTCCCACCTTTTAGTCCCACTATCACCAATAAGGTGGCAAATGGAACGTGATAAAAGTTACAACTGTCCCCTCGCCGCAAACTTTTTATTCTCATGTGTTCCCACGTGGGGACACAGCGGGGTGACGGTTGGGAATAATCCCCAATGTCTAACAAAGAACGGAAGCCAATAGTTAAGGCGACTTAACAAATACCTTGGCCTTGCTAAGTAATTACTTCAACTATTGATTTAATTGAGTCACAGTAGAGTTTTAACGAGAAAAATGTGTTCTCAATTGTCAATAGACAAGTGGCTTTCAGAAATCAGCTCACAATGAATAGAGTTACATATTTAAGGCACCATATGACTAAACTAGCTGTTGCTTGCGACTTCATACGTGTGAAATAAAAAGATAAAAAATAAAATCTATGTTAGTCACAGATAAACTACTAACGGTGAAAGAATTTTTAAAATCGGTCCAGTTTTTTAGTAATTCAATATATACAAAAATACAAGTCTTTCCTCTTTTCAACTCATTAAATTTAAGTCCCAAAAAATTATTTAAAAATGCTAGTAAAAAGTCCTTAAAGCCCACCATCTCTATAAAGTTGGTCACTTTATCCACGTTGTCCCACTGGCCTAAAGCATCCTACCCCTAAAAATATTGTGGTCAACAGTTACCTATACCTTGTTTGTAATTATAATATTATAAATGCGAAAGTTTAGATGGATGGATGTTAGTTAGTTTGTAGCCTAAACGGCTTAAAGGATTACAATGAATTTTGGTATAGATATAGCGAATAGTGCGGAAGAACACATAGGCTATATTTAATTATTTTTTTTTAATTTCAAGTGAATGGAGTCGCGCGCAAAAGCTAGTAATCAACATAAATGTCAAGTATTGACCATGGAATGTAGTTGACCGTTACCTATTTACCCTGACCATATTGACAGATGTTCATATTTGTCGTAAATTGCAAATCTAACGTATAAATCAACTCTTGATGTCTATAACCGAGTGAGAGATCCATTTATTATTGGTCTAGGTTATTTTCAGTATAACGTACACACCAGTCGGCCAACTATTAACTAATTTGACTAGAATTAAAAAACAAAAAAAAAAACTAAAGTGGCCTATGTGTTCTAGCAGACTATCCTTTACATCTACACCAAATATCATCGAGATCCGTTCAGACGTTTAGGCTACAAACTCTAACAAACATCCATCCATCGATCTTTTTAAACTTTCGCATTTACAAAACATATTAAATGTAGTTCTATTCTAGTTTATCATCTCCCTGTCCTTATTACACTCCCGTAGGATCCCGTAAGATGCACGGATCGGTATCCTCCAGATTATCTTCTCATCTCAGTCCCTCCCTTTTTGATCATGTCACCTTCACGGAATCCATGTATCTGTGTACCACCTTTATCGGTGTACCACACTCATAACCAGTATTCTATTCTAAGTTTTTTCTAGATTTATGCGTACAAATGGTATGCACATAAACAAGTATGCGATCGAAAATGAATGGCTTCAAAGGTAGAGGAAGACAAGTATGGTTTGAAAGAGGATAGGTATGTGTTAAAGACGACGACAATTTAATAATCTATGGATTTCCCAATTATTTTTCTAAATACTGGTATTTTTTATTCATCACTTCAATTAAAAAATATTTAGAATCTAAAAATAACGCAAACTCTTCACACACTCTTAACTCTAGGGTACTTCTAGGGTCAAGCATGTGGGTCAAGAATTCTTATATTCTCTTTAACATCAAACTAATCTACAAATTAGAGTGATTTGATATTAGCTTTTGCCCGCGACTTCAGTTTTTTTAATCACATTAGCAACATCTAAAATTATCAGTATATCTCTACTGTCATACATCTATACTAATATTATAAAGAGGAAAGATTTGTATTTTTGCATGTATTATAATAACTAATAACTCAAAACTACTTTCTTTCTAACGGGTGAAATTTTTTTTAAAATTCTTTCACCCGTTAGAAAGGCAATTTATCTGTAACATAGACCATACTTTTTTATTATTTTTTTAATTTCGCGCGGACGAATTGACGACCAACACTTAATGTATTAGTATTTTCCTCTTTTTATTAATTAAACTGCATCAAAATCCGTTGCGAATACAGATCTAAGCATACATACATACAGACAGTGGGAGACGACATAGTTTTATACTAAACAGTGATTTTATATGAGTACCTAAGTTATTACAATAATTATTATTTACTTTTATCCCATACTAAACTAGCAGATTCTATAAAAATGACGTCACTAGCAAAGCCTACACCTGCGTGAAATCTGAACAAAGAGCCTACCATTGAGGGCAACCTTCCTAATACAGCTTGGATTACTTAGAATACATTTACACTAAGAAAACAACCGAGTGACTATTAAGAGCGCATATCTTTGAAAAACCATCGCAACTATTGTGCGATTGTCGATTGTTTTGCAGCCAATTCAACTGTTTAGTTGTACAATTTAAAAATCGAGCAGTGTGCGCCTCTAAATAAGCTCATAAAGTTAGTCGCAGCGCGACTAAACAGTTGTGCGATAGTTTAGTCAAAGGTGTGCGCTCTAACAGTCATCAATGTCAGTCGAAATGATACTTTGTTCATTGATATGACAGTTGTTAACGACTGGACGCACTAGTGGAAAAGAGTTTTAATAGTCTGTATAAATGGATAATTGATATTTTATACTTCTAATTTAATTCCCACGACAATTATTTTTCTTTATTTTCATACTAGGTGTTCCTTGCGGCTTCATACGCGTGGAATTATAAAAACTTTATTTTATTGTTTACATTTGTTAAATTCTCAATTGCAAATGTCAAAATTCAAATTACCGTACCATGGCAATCCTGATTACTTGCAGCTTGTAGTTTATGGTCTGTAAACTAAGTTGAATAGCGTGAAAATATATAGCCTAAAACGTGTTGTAAGTGTAAGGCTTTATTAAAGAAAGAATTATTCAAAAATATTCTGTGATTGCTGGCATCCTACGCCACAGAGTAGTGTGTGTTTATGCTTTATTATATTAGTATAGATAGTAAAAATTACAATAAAATCATTGTTGTGGCTTACACAGTGAGATACTTAGTAATAACATCGCCATCGAGATTTTTAGTAATAATATCGCCTTCCCTTAGATTTCAAAGGTCAAGACAACGTGGTCTGCGTTAACAAGAACCGTCTAACATTTATATGCTCTTAAGGTTGGTTTCCACTACCGACTCATATATGAATACATATTGTTATCAAATAGAGATAATAATGTTTCATACGTTTCACCAGTGGAAACACGCGGTTATGCACCGGTCCGTCACAGTCCGCTGCATTAACTGTAAGCCACTGTTGTGTGAATGTGCTTTATTATTAAAAAGTTTTCCAAATGTGTACACAAATGGTATAGGTAGTGATTTCGCGGATGTATGTATATGTATGGATGTATGTATCGTAACAAATGATCTATATTGCTTTGATAAGCTTTCTAATGACATAATTTTTTTTTAAATCGGTTCAGTACTTTTTGAGTTAATTCATTACAAAATACAAATTGTAAACTACATTACAACGATTGTTTAAAAACAATAGACAACGGAAACAGAAAAAGTTTGCATTGCGTTTCATTGACAGCCAGTTTTAAACCAGTATGCAATGCTTTCGAAAAAATCACTGCGTAAAACCGTATGTTACCTGGCACATATCGTTAAAACATAAGTCAATGTGAACCTTGTTAACAATTGCTAACAATGACATATATTTGGATATGGGTGAGCATTATATGCTAATAAGTTATCTTCTTTGGATGGATCGTAAACGAAAAATATGAGTAACTGTATATCACTTGTTTTGTAGTCAAAGAATTTAATTTCGTTCCCACTTAAGATCTTTCGTAAACATTTTCACAATAAGAGCCACAATTTAGCATGTAGATTGCTATGACAAGTTTGCGATGTAACTGCACTGGGGTAAAATGCGAGTTGACTTCACACATATCTTTGAATTTCTTTGCCAATATGTGCAGTGTTTTCCTTCACGGTAAAAATCGGGTAAATGTGCACCGGAAATTCGGAAATCTAAAAAAACATTGGTACATGGCGGGATTCGAACCCAAGGCCTATAGATTACAAGTAACCTTTGACCCACCGACGTTTAAGTCAGAACTAACTAGAACAGGGGTGGCGAACATTTATGCATCAAAGTGCCATTTTTTAATGTAATGTTTTATGCGGTCTTAGATGTGGAATCAAAATTTTGACGATTATTACGTCATATCCTTGGTTCACCTACATCATAATTTTTTCGTAGTGTTTTTATGGTTATCAACGTGCCCAAAATACTATGTCGTGTGTCATTTATGGCAGTGTGCCAATGGTTTGCCACCCCTGAACTTGTACATTAACATTTCGATGCTCTTATTGTAACTTACCTTTCCTCTGTATAATAACCCTGAGGAGCGGTCTCGCTGTAAGCAGCGCTCTTGCCAGGTTATCGTCATTGTTGATCGGCAGCAGATCACCGTCTCTAGGGTCCGTGTAGGAGATGAGGAAGGCGACATCATGCAGCCGGTGCAACTTCTCTATCAGACCCTTGAAGTCTTCGTATTTCAACTTCTCCGTACGATTTAGAGCGAAGCGTCGGAACTCCGCATCGAACTGTAAATAAAAGTTAAAGATTATTACTACTCACGAGCTGTCGCCCGCAAACTTCTTTAGCGCTGATTTAAAAAGTCATCTACCACATTCCCGCGTGCATCTATCTTTTAGTCAAATTCCCGTTCAAATCGGTCCACCCGTTCCAGAGATAGCAAAAAAAGTAGTCTATAATATGCCCGTCTATGTCAGCTACCCTCCAGTAAAAGGACGGCCGAAATCGGCCCAGCCTTTTCGGAGATTACCCAGACAAACGCGGCTTGCGGACACAGACAGATAGACAAAAAAATCTGGAATTTTTCTTTCGATGTTACAGACTTTTGGGATTAACAGACACTCCAATTTTATTTTATGTATAGATTAAAATCTTGGAATACTTAAAACCTTAAAGTATAAAAAGAATTTTATAATAATTACTGTTTGGAGCTTTTCTGACACTTTATCGTAATTTATCTTATCATTATTGGCTTATGAGATAATCTGATGCGTCTTGCGTTATGACAAATTAAATACATAGGTACCTACACCATGTATTTTACGAGACAAATATATGGCTCTTTAAAAAAAACTCGCTGAAAAATCTACTGCCGAAACCGTCCTTCTATTACAGTTCTACTGTCGTAGTAAATGTGCTGTTTTTACTTTTTATCAAAGGGAATGCAAGTTTTATTTTGCAATTGTTTTGATTTTTTATTTGCAAAACTCACTTTAAACGATTCGTATATTACTACTGTAATAACTAGTACTAAATCATAAACAAGGAAAAACTGTAATCTATACTATACTATTATAATAAAGCGTAAACACACACTTCTTTGTTGCCTAAGATGTCAGCAATTACACCATATTTTTGAATAACTCTTTTTTTAATAAAAAGCCCTACACTTACGACACGCTTTAGGCTATATATTTTCACGTCATTAAACTAAGGGGGTATATATTTTGGATAAAAACCTTAATGTGGTAAAGAGACTATAAGTTGCTGCCAACATCAAGGAAGCAAGATTGCCAAGGTATGTCATGTCATTTTGACATTTGCTATTGATAATTTCACAAATGTAAACAAAAAAATAAAATTTTCATAATTTCGTGCGGATGAAGCCGCACGGTAACAGCTAGTTTTATTATACTCGACTATTGATTATTACGATGAATACCCTAATACAAAAAAAAAATCGTAAAACAATAATTCAATAATAAAACAAACAAAGCGTCATTGAAATTGATGCAAACTTTCAAGAATACATACGTCACTGTACAAAAACAATTATAAGAATCGCGATAACATTCTAGAAAGTGTAAATTATTTTAATTAGTGGAATTCAACCTTAATTAAAGTTCTTTGTATGGAATTACAACGAAAATTCAAGTGTTATTGAGAGAAACATCTATTTAAAAGTCACGAAATATTAAATTGTATACAGTAGGGACAAAAGAATCAACTAACTAGTCATCCCCACTGAGGGGCTCAGAGCCTACCCTAGGGTGACCAAGCTCTAGTCAATCGCACTGGCCCATTGTGGGTTGACTTCACACATATCTTTGAATTTCTTACAGTTATGTAGAGCTTGCTTCACTGCAAGAACTTCAGGTAATTGTTAAGTACTAAATGAAATTGAAAACCATATTGTTACATGGCAGGATTTGAACAAAAGACCTACAGAATACAGTAAAGGTTTAACCCTTAAACCATCAAAACTCTAAATAAACAGTAAAAATGAAGGAAGAACATGTCCAAGAAAATTATGGTCCATCTAAAACAACAGTTTTTCAAATGAATCACTAAAACCACAACCCAATTAACTATGTAAACAAAAAAATGTGGCATAATGTACTATTGTTCAACTTAGGGCAAAGACCTTTCTCACTTACATCCTTAAACAAAGCAATTTATTGCACTAGTATTACACCCAGACTTCACACTACACAATTATTGCAAAACTGTTGTCGATATTCAGATGTAAAATATCTTTAACCAAAAAAATATATCTTACTAATCTTACTAATATTATAAATGCGAAAGTTTAGATGGATGGATGCATGGATGTTTGTTAGAGTTTGTAGTCTAAACGACTGAGAGGATCTCGATGAAATTTAGCATAGATGCAGAGCACAGTCTAGAAGAATACACAGGCTACTTGCTTTTATTTTTTTAATTGTAATTTTTAATTATTTAACAATATCTTTCTAACAAGGGGTACACCAGTAGAGGTGGACCTAGAGATGGATGGCTTGTGTGAAAGGGGACAATTAAGAAGAGAGTGCTGACTGAGATGATGGATGATAAAACTCTATTTGCATACTGTACAGGAGTAGGACAAGGTAGGGGAGATGAGATCTTTCTAACAAAGGGTTTAATAACATTTGTGTCCAATGATCAATTACAATGAAATTACAAATTGTTTCTTATTACATCTCCATTGTTTTATTGTTGATTGTATTCAGCATTACATTAATACTTTTATCATTGTATTGTTATATTCAAATTAAACATAACAAATATGTTAGATAACAAAGTTAGATGAACACGAGGGAAGGATTTTTTTGTTCTTAGCATAAAGTGGCAAAAGAGCAAATGGCCAATTGAGTTCACCTCCCATCCCAAAGGAATCACAACGGATTTGAACAAATGTACATCATCCTCCTCCTTATCCTACTCCCGTAGGGTTGGCGCAACAGGTTTTTGTCATGAAAAACCTACTTTTGGGTTTGGAAATACTTTTTATGGTCGGCCGCCTGCCTTTCGCCAACCTTACTTAGGATTATATACAATTTTAAGAAACATAGGCCACTATTATATTACTCTGATTCTGGTTGAGTATGATTTAGTTGCTCTGTACAAGGTATGAGCAACATTTGACATTGAGGGCCAAACTTTAGCATAGAAATACATTTGCAGGTCGCAACTTCAAAGGATGTTTGCCAACTCACTATCACTCTCTGAGTATAAGAACCTAATTTACTTTTTTTAATGGGTTTTGTCAAAATGTCTCACTGGCCAGATCATATCTTATAATGGGCCGGGTGCAGTTGCGAACCAATTGTTGCCCATACCAATCACTAGACAGTATAGAAACTCTTTCATGGTAATAATAGTATAGCTATAGTATATATATTACCAGACAATTTTTATGTGACTAGAAAGATACTATGAATCATTATCAATGTGGTTTAGAAACCCATGAATGAATGATTCATCATTTACATCAAAATGATTCAAGAGTAAATAGGTTAAGGCACTAATTGAACAAAATATACAAATAACATGCATTATTAATTATTACTATCTTATCTACCTTACTAATATTATAAATGCAAATGTTTGAATGAATGGTTGTAACTGTGTACATCCAGAATAGCTAAACAGATCTGGGTGAAATTTGGAACAGATGTAGAACATAGTCTGGACGACATAAACTGTTAATTAAAGTTTTTTTCTTTAATTCCGTGCTGATGTAGTTGAAAGCAACAGCTCATGTTTAATACCAAGTCAATCATAATTTTAAAATATCTATTTTTACCTCTGTTTACTACTGAATATTCTGCTAGAACTTTGAATTTGTGGACGTAATAATCCAGTAGATTTTGTTAACTAAGAAACCCGTCTAAGTTCTTATCACACAAAAGGAAGTATAGAATTTATAGACATCTCATTTGTTCAAATTGGTTCAATTGTTAAGACGACAGGTTACAATGGAATTGACATATATTTAAACCAACTCACATGCATGTAAAACTTTATCCTCTAAAGTCAGTTTTAAAAGACCTTCTTGTTTAAATATGTGTGTAAAATCAGGGAAGGTATGTTCTTTAACACATTTAGACAATATCATATTATCTGTGTGACTATTGCCAGCAGTGAGACTAAGAAAATTTTAAATTTCATCAACTTCGAAGTAATATCAAACTTTTTGAACAGCAGTTTTTAGAAAATTGAATATTGCAATAAGTTTAAATATGAAGTTTAAGAAAAGTTTTAATCTTTTCTCATGAATCGAAACTATGAATTAGAAACTTAGTCCTACATACCTTAGTTTTAACTTCTACACTTTGGCTGTCAATACGAGCAGCAATTTTATTCTTCGACATCTCGAAAGCATTTAATACACTTACACTAAATCCAAAAACTAATCTCTAAAACATTTAGGCACTTGATTTCCTAGAAAACATTGTAAAATATAAAAAGTTTTTTAAATAATTGAGGCTGTTCCTCACACTCGTAACTCTCGCGTCGTAATTTTAATGAATACTGTTTCGTTTACAAATATTTCACAGTATTAGTAATTATCGACCAATCAAATAAAAGGATAAAAGTTAATCTTTGTTTTAATTGGTTCTTAGAATACGACAAAGAAAACGCATTATTTAACGTTCCGTGACACGTAGATTATATTTAAAAATTATGTTTGTCACTACACTGCCTTTTAATACAAAAATACGAAAATGCGACGGATGTCGTATAGAAAGATGGCAACAAAACAAACTGTTTGATTAGTTTTGTAACTTTAGCCTATTATAACAAAATAAAATTATGAAACAGTAAAATATTGTGAGCGACAAGTGTCGTCCTTGCTATTATCATCTTCATTAAAGAGGATGTGAAAAATATGATGAATGATCTTTATGACAATGACATTGACAAATGAGATAACAACATTCAACAAATAATGTGATGTAAAAAGTATGAAAACGAAGAGAAACTTGTAAAAAAATAACAGAGAAATAATATACTACCTAAAAATGAAGTTAAATAATGCAGAAGAGGCCTCCCGTTTGAATCCATGTCTGAAGGTTATAATTATTTACGAACTTTACGATTTTGGTTAATAATTTCTATTAGTTTTACATAATATGATTTATTCAATTTAGGAGCAAAATCAATCTTATGAGTGCCTAAACAAGAATGGATATGACCAGAAAAAATGTGAAGCTTATTTTGACAACTATAACACATGCAAGAAATTCTGGGTAAGAATCCACGAAATAAATTTCTTTTGTTATCAACTAAGAAGCACTGGACCAAAGGGATTGACTAAACCTAGTCTTCCTCAGGCTGGTTGTTCTGTGCGCCGTTTAACCGGACCTCCCAAACTAAAACCTGGTTCAAATTTGCCCAGTATAGCTGGAAACTTATGTGAACACTAACTGGCACCAGAGTCCATACAATCTTTGTGTAATCTGATAATTGACGAACTGTGAACAAGACCTAAGTTCAGATTTACTAATCATCTCAGATCCCACAAGGATATCAATGTTCACCATTGATGGAGTAAGTGATGGAGGTTGTCCACCCCAACTTGGATAAACTTTGAGGCCTTCATTAGGGTTGTTAGGTGATGCTATTTCTTTTTTTTTCAGAATCAAGTATTTAGAGACAGAAGAGCAAAAGGCATAAAACCTCATTTGCCTGATGTAGAAGAAAGGGAGAAAGTTAAAGAGGAATATGTTAAAGCTTGGGGGAATTAACGTCATTTAACAATAGCATTTCTATTTATACACAGACAAATAGCACAGATTATATTAAGGAATTATATTCAAAGCAGTTGCAATAAAAGTACAAACAATTTTATAGTTTTATTTATTAAGTACCTTGTTTATACATTTCTTCACATCATGTATATAAATTTTCTCATGTAAATTTATTTTTCTGTAGGATATTAAAAGGTTCTTTTAGTGCTATAAAGAGGAATGATTTGTGTTTTTGTATGTATTGAAATAACTCGAAAACTACTGGGGCGATTTCAAAAATTCTTTTTACCACTAAAAGCTATGATATAACTGAGTAACATAGGCTATATCTTATAATTTTACGCGGGCAAAGTTGCGAGCAACTGCTAGTATTTAATATTTTAAATTGTACATAAATTAAATCGGAAACCTTACACAAAAACTTTGAGCATTTTATTTGAACATGCTATCTCTGTTATTTTCTACCAGGAATGAAAGAAATGGCAATAGTTCAAGTGTTTTAAAAGTCAATATTCTTTATGTTAAGGAGAAATAAAACAAATTATTAGATTAAATAACATTGTATTTCGTGTTACAGTAATGTCAAGCCGAAACATTTAGCGTGCTAAAGCTAATGGGCTATTTTATGAACAAAGGCAAATTGGGAATTATCCTTACATTCATGTACTTTTTATTATGTATATATCTACAGTCAAAATTATGTAAAATCAATTGTACTAATTGTGACTACAGTATTAAAAAACTTAGAATAAACATTGAAATAAGAATATACAATAGCTCTCTCTCTCTCTTTAAGTGCCTCTCCATTAATGGAGGTTGGCCGTCAGCTTAGCGAACTTTTTCCGGTTTTGCAATAGCTAAAAATTACATTAATATTGTTCTTGATAACAGAAAGCGATAATTGAATATGGATGGATATATATGTAGAGGAAGACCGAAGAGTGTATGGATGGATTGTATGAAAGAGGATATGCTTATGTGAGAATTCAGATATGACAGCTGGAAGATGTATGGAGCACATACTGTGCCGACTGTAAAGACAGGGGCAAGTTGATGATTGTTTTTAATTACGTAAATTTAAAACGCAATCTGTTTATACATCCAGGAATTTGTTGGAATTGTTTTTTTTTAATGTGGTTAATTTTTTGAGAACATAACATCATAAAACAATTTACTCTTTAATAAAAGAGATTCAAGCTGATACAATAATTTATACAGACATTTGAATAGAAATAATTTGAAAACACATTTTAGTTTACTATACGACCGCGATAACAAGAGACTTGAATTCGATGACGTCATTTTACATCGAATCCATTCTAATTGTAAGCTGATTAATAATTAGAAAATGTGAAATATTACATCCATTGAAATTGATATGACTTAATCTAAAGTTGCTAACTTAAATAAAAGTATGAAAGTTAAGAAAAAAAGGTATTTAGATCCTTCAAATGTGTTATTTAAAACTATTTGTACTTGTTATTTATTATTATTTATGTTTCCAGACAATTCAGTTTTGTTTAAAATAATCAGAATAAAAAAATATATAATATATTCTTAATTCATTCTTTCATACCTCTGGATATGGGTGTAGTCAAATAGCAAAGGGGGTAGTTATACTCCCCTACAGAATCTATAATATAATAAATTAAAATAGATATATCAATCAATATAATTACCTACAGATCGTAATAGTTAACTCATAAACTACTTGTCAGTTTTTGATAAAAATAATTGGACTACATGTTGAAAAACTTTTAGCAAAAAAAATACTCCAAGTCACAATGAAAAATTGCCTTTGGATCTAAATATACATATTATTAATTAAAATAAATAAGTAGACATATTAAAAATATGGTAAAATTAATATAAAAATAATGTTAACTAAAGCGGTGGACAGGACTTACATAATACTTATGTTACATGATTTAAAAAGATTATAGTCAAAATTAAAAATATATTAAAAAAGATAAGCATGTACTTCTTTGGCTCGATTTTTACGAGTTATTGATCGGTCATAGTTTTTATTGCATTAAAAAATCTAATTAAATTCAAACTTAGAAGTTAATACTTGAGGTACACGCTAATTTCATTACCTCATTTATTATGCAAATATTTTATAATCTCAATATAAGAACTAGAAATTAATTGTGATTTAAAATTATTAATACTTTCAATAAAATCTTATTAATAGCGTGCTGAAGCATTTATATTTATTACTAGCACAACCTTTCTTAGCGCGTACCTCTTAAAAATGGTTTATTCCCAACCGTCACCTCGCTCTGTCACCGCGTGAGAATAAAGTTCCATCCGTCCCACTATCACCAATAAGATGGAACCGTTATGGAATAAAATAAGTTCCAACCGTCCCCTCGTTCCTCGGTGGGTTGGATGGTACTTTCATTCTCATCTGTTCCCACGTGGGGACAGAATGGTGTGACGGTTGGGAGTAAACCTAAAAAAAAATATTTAAAAATAAACTTAAAATTATTAAAAAGGACAATGCGTGCCGTAAACACTCAAAAATAATGTACATGGAATAAAAAAAAACGATAAAACAACAAAATTAAAAGAGCAACGAATGGTTTCATAAAATTTGTAGATGGTTACGAAATGGCGGCGTTCTGTCATTTTAAACTGTATTCCGTTAAAATTGTGAAATTAAAGGTTTTTTTTTATCTTTTTTTATTTCTTTACACTTCATGTACAGTATTATTTGTAAATAACACAACAAATTACATATTAACTTGTATCATTTTACATTTTATTGAAGGTTAAAAAAATTTCTAACCTCAAATATGTTAAAATTTACATGTTATATGTACACCGTGAAAAAACATAGTTGATAATGCTTTTCTTTAAAATTAAAAGACATGAATTCAAAAATGTATGAAAACGTCGAAAATATGATTCTGGTCCTTCGAGCATGATATCTAAAAATGAGACAATCATTTCTAATATACAAATAAATAATTTTAATAAATGAATCCTTAAAAAATAGGACCAATTGATGTTTATTTTAATTCTTTTGCAATTTAATAGTTTAGTTATTGATTTTTAGATCGATATAATTGATTTTTGATTTCTAAAACAAAAACTGACAGAAAAACTATTATATCAAATATATATTCTTATTGAAATGTAGTATGCGTTATATTAATTGATTTGTCTATGTTCTTAGGATGGTCTAAGTTAGCTATATCTGTGAGTAATATTTTGAGACTGGGTCAGATTTTGTCATAGCAAATACAACTATGTCACGGTGTGTCATGTCATCTTAGCACGCATTGTCATCTAAGAGTCAATCTGAACGTTGTTTTATATGGAAACAGCTTATTCTGAAATGATCGCACATTTGCCGTACCTGGAAAAAAACAAAAAAAAAACATTTTTAAAAATTCGATTTGACAATCTTTGATTTTTTTGTATTATTAGGAAAGGCAAAACTAGTATGCACTGAATTCGCCAAAATAGCAAAGCGACGCTGCCCATAGACATTCATAAATGCAGATTGCCTAAGTTAAATCTACATAGGAGAGGACAGAACTTAAAGAGGATATTTCCCCTTCCCATTCTTTTCACTTCCGACCTGTCTTCTGTGTGGTATTAGCTTATTTCTTACATTCTTACTAATATAAAACAAAAATGGATGAATTTACATATCTCCAAAACTTAACGGATTAATTATTTCCATCCGTCACCCCGTTCTGTCCCCACGTGAGAATAAATAGTTCCATCCGTCCCACTATCTCCAATAAAGTGACATGAATCGTTATGAAATAAATAATTTCCAACCGTCCCCTCGTAACAAAAAGTAGGATGGATGAATCTATTCTCATCTGTCTCCACGTGGGGACAGCGGGGGGACGGTTGGGAATAATAAGTTTTACGTTTAAATAATACTCACAACACAAGCACCGTAGTGTAGATGTGCGGCAACACTGAGAGCAGTCATCGTATACAGTAGTGTTGCCTCATAGCTAGGTTGTGTGACGGCGAGGGCCGCGCACGCGCACAGCGGCCATACTAACCAATTGACAGCCTCACAACGTTGACCACTCATTTGACTTACTATTAGACGACACTGTAATATACATTTATGTATCTTACTTCTTACTATCTTACTAATATTATAAATGCGAACGTTTAGATGGATAGATCGATGGATGGATGTTTGTTAGAGTTTGTAGCCTAAACGGACAAACGGATCTCGATGAAATTTGGTATAGATGTAGAGGGTAGTCTGGAAGAACACATAGGCTACTTACTTTTGTTTTATTTTATTCCACACGGACGCAATCGCGGGCGAAAGCTAGTACTAATATAAACATATACGCAATTCTTATAGGCGGTTTCTGAAGAACTGTTAACCATTAGACAGTGCTTACGGTTCGAAAAATTAATAAAATAAGGTTCCGAACTACGTATCTTGAGTGTATTTTTGAATTATTTTTTTTTTAAATAAAAATGCTTAACACATAAAATAAAGGTTCCAAAACATTTGTCAATTTGTCTGTGAGTTCGTGTGCGTTTATCTTAGAAACGACTAAACCGATTCGGTCGCGGTTTTCTCTAATTTATTATAGTTAGTTTCACTTAAAATTTCTTTAAACAGTGGAAAAACATAACAGATGTGCTATTTTACGTATAAAGTCGCGGGCAAAAGTTAGTACAAGAACCTCGATAAGTTAAAGTCCAAGGGAAACACAAAATATTTTAAGTTATCAAGGGTCTATGTTATAGAGGTTTTGTTCTTATGGGAAGGGAACATATTATTTTTTGAAGTTATAGAGGTTTTTAAGTTACCGAAGTTTGAGTTATCGAGGTCCTACTGTATAAGTGTCACAGATAAGTATAACTTACCGCAACATTACTGAATATAGTTCCTATTAGTAAGAAAACAGCTCTGAGATCATAATCCGGTAGTGCTTGAGACTTGTGTACCCAGAATGTGGTCACTGTGAACACTGCGAGGATAGACCATAACGGTCGTAATGCCTCACTGAATGAACGCATCTTGCCTGTCCGGAGAGTGTATGATCTGTGAACGAATGACAAACATGTATGTGAACTTTACTTATTTTTACCCTTAATTTAGGATAGAATTCTAGTCTCTTAGTGGGGATGTATATTTAGCTCATGATGTGAACTTTACGATATATGAACGAATGAATGAATTTAATGTCGCTTAAAGTGGATGTATTTGTGAACGAATGAATTCATTATCGCTTCGAGTGGATGTGATTGTGAACGAATGATCAGTAGTATGTGGACTCTACAATCTGAGTTGAATGATTGAACTTATCGGCGCATATAATGTAAGTTATGAACGAATGAACATAAAAACTCATGAACAGTCTCATGAAGGTCTGAGAATGAATGATTTCAAAACTTATAGTATGTTACTATTTAAATGAATATATGAACACCGTTAGAATGTAAAGTGTACGATCTGTAAGTGAATGAATGATGTATAACTCACCGGTAAGTATTATACAATGCGACTGGGAGATTGGTGAATATTCCCGTGCCATAAATGAGCCATTCGAAGCCATTGGCGAGGGTGTAAGAGCCAAATATGTACCGCTTGTAATACCCTGTGCCGTGCACACCTGTCCATACGAATAAGAGGGTCGATGCCTGGAATATAGGATGATTTTTATATGAAAACTATAATATAAGGCGTTTTATAGTGAAGTTATAGGGTGTTTTTGTTTCTCAAAAATAAATGCTGTAATTTACAGGGTGTTTTGTAGTAAATTATTAGAATGTATTTGTAAAAAATGCTTTATTATTGATAGGGATATTGAAAATTACATTAATAACGGTTTTTTTCTTATACAGAGTGATTTAAATTATAAAAGATTAAATATTAGAAGTGGCAAAATGGTAATAGTCAACAGTTTAGTGTAATATACAGGATGTTTAAACCAAGTTAAAATGTGGACAAAAAAGAATGAACCTACCCACATACTGAAGTCATACCCCCAGGGTAGGAAGAGCACCCCTGTGTTGTACTTCTCCCAATGGCTCAGGTAGAAGTTGAGGAGTAGATTCCACATCACATAGTACATTCTAATAATAAATAATTATTAAAATAATTTGACATTTGACGTGACTATATTTATTTAATTAGATTCAAGTATGGTACATAATTGAAGGCAATCGGGCTGTCATGGTCCGAGACACAGAGAGCCCAGGACAGAGCGAGCTGGCGGTGTACTGTGGACGCCCTTTGCCCCATTTTGGAGACATACGAAAAGAAGAGAGAGAGATGGTATATACATTACCTAATAGGCGGTATAGAGAAATCCCATCTTCCAAATATTGAATAGAGACAGGCTGGTATGAAGAAAACAGAATACGAGTCCAGACCATGGTCAAAAAGTTCCCCTAAAGGTCCAGATGTCTGCGTTCTTCTCGCCTGTTTGCCATCGATACCATCTGGAATAGTTAAATAACTGGTTAAAACGACAAATCAGTTATAACAATTACTAATCCGATAAAACAAATACAGTCTAACCAGGAATATAAAAATAGAATTCTTGGTTCGAAGGCTTATCCACTGATCTGTATAAATGGATAGGATTGCTAGGAAATGACAGCTTTTGTCTTTCTTAGTAAAGTATTAAGGGCAACCTTTAAATATACGTAAAGAAGCCTTATAGCGGCTTATGTAAGATTCAATGTCTTGCATTTTTTCCGTTACACGTGTGAAAAAAATTTATGTTTTTTTTTTAACATTAATGGGCGTAATAATTCTGTGGACGTTTAATTTTAGTTTCAAACAATAATGATTTACTTAACAATTAAACCGAATAATTGGTATTTTTTTAATTAAATACTTTTATCTTACTAATATTATAAATGCGAAAGTTTAGATGGATGTTTGAGAGTTTGTAGCCTAAACGGCTGAACAGATCTGAATAAATTTTTGCATAGACGTAGAGGATAGTCTGGAAGAACACATAGGCTGCTTTTTTCTAATTCGGACGGAATCGCAGGCGTAGGCTAGTTAAATTGTACTTTCAACTCGTAGGCAATTATTTACATCGTACTTGGCCTATTTAAGTACCAAATAGCATAAATCAAATCACGTGATAATATTATCTTTGATCGTATATTCATCTGACATCAAAACTTACCTATTCTTGTATGTTATCTCTTTAGATGTAAATACGAAGACGATTGTGGTATCGAAATGGTACGTTCAATTATAAATGTCGGTTTACACTGCACACTGCTGCACATCCGTGACATTTTTTAAAAAAGAAAACAAGGGCACAGGAAGCATACAGCTAGAAATGACTTCCATATCTTCCCTTAACTTCAGGGGTGGTGAACCTTCACGTATCATCGTCCCATATTCCTTAATAAATTACTATTGGTGTTAAAGACTTATGAAATAATTTTGAATTTGTGATTGGGTACAGCAACTAAGCGTTTACTTTTCAAATGGCATCTACTTGATTTCCTTTTCTTAGTACATAATCGATTTTGTGATTAATAATGTGTCGCGTGCCAATAGTTCGCCACCCCTGCCCTATTTTATTACGCTATATTATTGGAAAAGACTAACACTTATCCCCAGCATGTATAATAAACAATTATTGAGGATTATTCGTTTTTAAAGAAACATCCTTATACGCGGCTTCAAGACGTTGACGACGTCGAGTGTACAATACCATACACTCTCGGAAATCCGCGGTGTGGCACTTTAGGAGAAATTGCATTGCAAATAGACAAACTCCGCGTATTCCCACAAATAACTGATTAGATAGCAGTGAGTTCAAACGTAGGGATAGTAAAAATAGAACTAGCCGTTTATACTAACCGACTTCTTTTCGTACATTTATAAGCTACGTTGTATTGGTTTTGTTCCGCGTCTCGTCAAAATGTTGAAAAGTGGAACACCGCCAGTTTTTCTGACTGAACTTCTATTTAAATTGTACTTACCTAAAGTATAAGCGAGGAAGAGAAATGCAGCGAGTAGGTACCACAACTTCTGTGGTATGACTTCAGGATGTCCGTTCAAAGGCTGGTCAGGGCTGGTCAAGTTTTGTACCGATGTGCTCGCAGCGGAGTAATCATAGTCATAGTATGACAGGAGTACGAAATCAAGAACTGTGAGAAGGAAGCCGACGAATGTCAACACGTTTGGTGCGACCCATCTAGGTACCAGCTGCGGAAAAATAGATTTATAAATTTCGCTAGTGAATTCGTTTATAACTAACATGAATAATTTTTTCGGGCATTTCGGTGGCATTAATGTGTTAAAAAACATAAGGACGAATTTCCTTATTTTGGGAGGTCAGTTAAAAAGGTTATATCTATACTAATATTATAAAGAGGAAAAAATTTGTATTTTTGTATGTGTTAAAATACGTCAAAACTACTGGGCCGATTTCAAAAATTCTTTCAGCATTAAAAGGCTACGTTTTTTTTTAATTTCATGCGGAGGAAAACTCGAGGAACAGCTAGTCTTTTTTAGACTTATTACCGTATAGATTAAACAGGATATATTTCTATGTAAATTTTTAACCCTTTCATTAGCCATTGCTAGTAGTTTTTAGGTTAGAATTTTGTTTCAAGGTGGACATTTTATTCAATTGTTTTAAATAAAGTAAATTCCAACATAGCCTTTATGACTACGAAAAATCACGTCTCGTAAAACTTGCTCTAGATCTACCGGTTTATTAACATATGAAGTAAACGAACCATACATAATACTTTTATGTTTTTTTAGTATAAATTCTACTTTATTTAAATACTAGCTTACACCCAGGACTCCGTCCGCGTAGAATTAAAAAAGGCTACAAACTCTAACAATGATATGACTCTAACAATGTATAGATATGAAAGTTTGGATGGATATCCATCTATACTATTAAAATAAAGCGTAAAAACACACTTCTTTGTTGCCTAAGATGTACGCAATTACAGCATACTTTTCGATAATTCTTTTTTATAATAAAAGGCCCTACACTTACGTCACACTTTTGACATCAAGGAAGCAAGATTGCCAAGTTTTGTCATATCATTTTGACATTTGCAATTGATTTTTTGACACATGTAGACAATAAAATAACATTTTCATAAGTTTATACGGAAGAAGTCGCAGGGGAACAGCTAGTTTATAATATTAGTATAGTATAGTGGTATACTATCCCTGTTGCCTCGACCCTACGGGAGTAGCATAAGGAGGAAGATGATGATGAGTATAGTATAGTACATAGTATGAAGTATGATTAAAAAAATCTGATTTAAGTTAACCGTCATAGAAAAACGTGGCATTTAATTCCGTTATAATTTTCTCTTTAAATATACGGCCGACCGTATCAAAGTACTAATATCACCGACATCAAAGTAATAATAATTGTACAATATAAACATAACAGCTATAATAAGGGAGGTTTACTATTTTCAAGAAATAATTTCGTTACTTTTTAGTGTACTGTTTTTTTTGAGAATATTTTGTTTGGAAGTCCGTTTATTTTTTTATTAAAAAGTTTTTAATTGCGCAGTAGTTAAATAATAGTTTGTCACGAGGAATTACTAAGTGCGTCTTCTTGTATCTTTTACTAAATAGATGAATTTTTGGGGACTTAGGTTTCATACGATTTTTTCTCAGTGCTCTAAAAGGTTATAGTCCAGTTTATTGTTTTAAATTAACCATAACTTGGTATACAATAAAGCCAATGTATGGATTTCGGCAAAGTTTATAGAGAATTCGTACTAAAAATAGTCTTGTAAACCACACTCGTAGTACGTATTTCTATCGATGAACTCAGAACGTTTAACAAATCGATATAGTGAGTTATAAAAACACCCCTTTTCCACTAGCGCGACTACAACCATTCGGTCAGTGCACGTAAATTACAAATGACGTATATTTACACCTACCTGTCCCCGTGCGACTTCATCGCATAGCGTGTCGTAAGTGTAGGGTCTTTTAATTTAAAAAATGATTTTAAAATATGCAGTGATGGCTGAAATACTGTTTGCGCTCTATTATATTAGTAAAGAAGATTAACAGTGGTAGTGCCCGCTTTAACATCTTAGCACGAATGGGCCGGCACGCCCGGTGTAATACCACGACCACACAGTAGACAGGCGTGAAATGGAAGCAATTCCGTGTTTCGTCTGATGTGAGTGTGGTGCCGGAGGCCTAATTTAAGTCCCTTTCCCTTTACCACCCTTTTATAAAGAGAGGTTGGGAAGAGGAAGTGGATTTGACGGTGGAGGAGATGCATAGGAAGGGGAAATATCCTCTTTATGTGCGTCTCCTCCTCCGTCGGATAAGGGTAGGCAACGCATCTGCAATTGCGGATGTCTATGGGCAGCGGTCGCTTCGTCATTTTGGCGATTTCAGGTGGCCGCTTGCTCGTTTGCCACCTTATGTTATAAAAAAAAAAAAAAAGATGTTTAGATAAATAGATGCGTCAATTGAATACATTTGCACTGTGATCTTTAAAACCTTAGTGACTTCTCTCACGAAAATTTTGCCAAACAAGTTGCCAGCGACTAGCTTTGTCGATCATAGAAATGTCGATGACGCATCCTTGTAAATCTATGGTTTTAAGCTTAGCGACTAACATCGGAAAGCTCCAAAAAAAACATACAGACGAATTGAGTACCTCCTTCTTTTGGGAAGTCGGAAAAAAATTAAATCGCTTCGTGTACGAACTGCCTTAAGTGCGACTGATATCTTGCCTCGCGAGTCACTAGTGGAAGTATTGTCTAACAAAATAACTACGCTACGTTTGGCAGCATTATTACCAAGGTTTCGTGTTCGACTTTTACTGGAATGCGGCAGTTGTGACGTAACAGATTGTAAAATTCCGCATTATTTAAAACGTTAAAATCTACTTTTCATATAGTAATCATAAAAAATGACTGGCCAGTGACAACACGTGTTCACTCATCACGATAAGATTATAAAAAAAAAAACGATAACTGTTTCGAGTAAATTACTTTTCACAATGAACATATATGTGAACATAAATTATATAAAATAAACTTTATTCCTATACAAATAAGGTACACTTTAATTCAGGCGTCGTTATCAAAAATGGCGCGATTTGCAAAACGCACGATATTTACGCCATAGATAAAGCGATAATTATTAGTATGCAAAATGCACATGTTTGTGTGACATAATTAAAATTATTAGTTAAAAATTTAACCAACCAAGTTCTTTTTAATAATCAATGGGAAAATGTTAAATCTATACTATAATAAAGAGGAAAGATTTGTATTTTTATTTGTATTGAAATAACTCAAAAACTACTGGGCCGATTTTAAAAATTCTTACACCATTAAAAAACTATGTAATCAGTGAGTAACATAGGCTATATTTTATAGCTTTTTAATTGCACTATGAAGTCACAAGCAACAGCTTGTTTATTAAAAGTTAAACCAATATAAATTGATGGAATTTTTCTGTTAACATAAGCAATTGTCTTGTACTTTACTGTATTTGAAACAAATATATAACAGTCTGAAAGAACACATAAGCTACATTTTTTTAAATTTTTCACAGGTCAAGTTATAGCTAAAAGCTTCCAAATGCAACTCTGTACCGAACAGTAGACAATTTTAAAACAATAACCATGGACCATTTGGAATCCTAGACTCTGGGGTCTGATATGAACCCAGAATTGGACACAATCAATAACAGAACTGCAAAATTTAGTCCTAAAGTTTAAACAAAACATCTTTATAAAACAACTACATGTTTGGCCACCTAATTACTCTGTTTCGAGGAACGAGGAACTCATAGACAACATAGAGATGAGGCATATACCTAGTTCCTTTTACTTCATTAAAAAAAAAAAACACAAAAATAAGAGCATTTTTTACACTCATGTATTTAGACCTGTATACTAAACAGTTTACTGAATTTTCGTTTTATAAATTAATTATTTAAAATTAAAATAATACCACTTACCTCTACAACTTTATTCCAAAAAGGATGCATAACATAAACACTTAGGGGACTTGTGTCTTTTGCCATATACTGGAATAAAAAAAAAATAGTAAACATCTAATATGCTTTAAAGATGAATGTTTTGAGATATAAAATTTAATAACATTAAAAATACCCTTAAAAGACTTTTATTTTGCGGTAATTAAATTAATTTACGTAAAAATATGACACAAGTCAAAATCAAATCGACAAATATAGTAAACAATCAAAAAAACAAATGAATTATACAGTGTTAAGTTTAGGCTTAGTTAAATTAGTCTTTTGTAAACAGGAAGAGATTTTCTACATAAATTGGAAAGTACAATCATTTTATTGTTGCGTAAAATATCGATTACTTTTAGGTTATATTACGGAAGTTTCCTGTTATTTAGTTACACTGTCACTGATTCTAATAGCAAGACATATTAATAGAACTTACCTTGTAATTATCGAAGCCTTCTAGGTGTTCCCTAGTGAGATATTTGTAGTTAAACATTTTTAAAATTTTAAATAAACTAATACCTATGAAACTAATCTTTATTAACTGTAACTCGGTATATTACGTGATAATATACATTTTAGAGATTGAGACAACTTAATAATAACATCACTTCGTTCAGAAATAATTGCAATTGAAAATTAAATAAGCCACTTTATTATATTCATATCAGGCCACCCGTATGAATGTGTTATACATAATTACTGTTCAACTACGGCTTGGTATTGGCTGTATGATATGCTGTATTCTGCGTAAAACCGTGAGAATGCGTAACGGCGATGTCACAAATATTTTAAATACACAGCGTGCTGTTGTGCACCTTATTCCATTGCAATAAAGTATATATTGCCTAATGTAAAATCTGGAAAAAGGTGCATTGAATGAGTGAATGAAACGGGCACATTGATCATTGATACAGCCAAGCAATCACAAATCGGCCTTTGATTCGTGGTTTTTGGCCCAAAAAAAATTTAAGGTTTTAGACAGTAAAAATAAAATGCAACTTTAAAAATGTATGCTTGATTGAACAAAATATTTTCATTCTTATTTTGCAGAGGTTTGCTTTTAAATGTTGCCAGAATAATTAATATAGCATTATTCATAAATGAAGTTAATTGCTATTTTTATTTGCTAGGCGCATCAATTCTTAGTTACAATAAAAGATTTTTTTAATTTTAGCCTACACCTTAAAGCTTCCCTAAACCTAATTTAATCAGGTTACCGATTACTACGACGAAAATACACCTCCCAGTAAACGTGATTGTTTGATTAGATAATGGTGCAACAAACAATAAAACCAAAAAATACATCAGTGCGTCAACACGGCGTAAGTACTTTGTATTATCTGGTGTAAAATGATAAATCGAATTATTGATTAGATAAGATATTTATAGATCAAACGACGCTTTCAATAATCAGTCTTGCGAAAAACTTGCCAGTGTTATTAAGTCTAAAATATTTAGGTAAAAAAATGTATCGTTTAAGTTCAGATGGTTACTTCGAAAATAGTATAGACGAAGAATATGTAGTGCGAAAACGTAGAGGCAAGAAAAAAGGCAAAGGTAACATGAATTTAAAAACAAATCAAGCTCCCACAACTGAAGATAGCGACGCTAATATGGAGGAACTTGAAAATGATGATGAAAAATCTATAAACGATGTACAACCAATTAAAATAGTCAATAACAATTTCGATTATCAAAATGCAGACGAAGATATGTCAGATTGTTTATCAAGAGTTTCGGTAGATGGCGTTATGAAAGCTCCACCACAAATACAAATCATAGAACCTGAGCCTTACGACAAAAACAAAGTATATTCCCCAAGTATAAGTCAAGAAGAGCCTGAAATAATACAATACAATATAAGAGCATTATCCAAACATGCTGTTACGTACGAATTGGAGAAATTCGAAAAGAATTGTCTAATAATATTCAATCAAGAGAATGTAGATGGTTTCAAACCGAGACATGGGACGGAGAAAGACGTACAGGCTCTCAAATCTACATTTAGCAACTATGGTTTCGAAGTGAAGGAACACAAGGATTTCACAAAGGACGAAGTATTTAGGGAACTAATGACATGTACGTATTGTGTAGTTTATTTTTGTGACTGGCAATTGTTATTTATGCTACGCATTACATGGCCACTTCAACCTTGTTACCTTGCTTTTATGATCTATGGTATATTTAAAAAATGGAGTGTCTGCCTATCCGTACCTCCGTGTTTGTTAAAAGAAATCTCCGGAAACGCCGGACCGATTTTGACGGGGTATTCGGGGAGGGCTGCAAGCGAGATTGTTATATTATAGGTTACTTTTTTAAATTCTGCGCTGACGATGGCGACAAATAGTTGTAGAACAATAAAATAATTGCAACTTAGGGCCTGTCCCACCTAATTATAAATTGTTTGATAACAATCCAACGTTTAATATGTGATGGAAATATCGGATTTTGTTACCTTATCTGAAGACGTCATTTTTAAGCTATCTGAGCCTCTATCGGCCAGTGGTGGGACAGCCCCTAAGTCTACCGATTACCGCCAGGATTGGCGCGCTTATTCTTAATTTGATTGACATTGACAGATGTCATAGGGAAGGGACGGGTATGCCAATGATCTAGTGTTGCGCCGCTACTCCGGCACGGTATCGATTTTTTTCTTAACACTAGTTTGTTTTACAATTTTAGATAGAAATGGGTTGTTAACAGAAACACATTCTTTGGTGTTTTATCTTCTAAGAATATAGGATGATGATAAAAATGACATCATCGTAATCTTGTGTATTCTTGTATATGTTAAGAGTATTTTAACACGAAACACATTCCGATCATCTCAGATATAGATTAAATTGTCGACTGACTTATTTATCTAGATAAAAATGGCTTTCAATTTTTAAAATCTTCAATGCTATCATGATAAAAAGGTAACTTCTTAAAATTTACACTGTACTGTGGTTTACAGAAGATTTTTTCAAATAGGATAATGAAAATATCTTGTCGTATATTTAATTGTTTTATGATTCAGAGGTCGCAAACCTTTCTGACTCAAGGCGAGAAAATGTCTCGGGAGCCCTTGTGCCTAGTCATTCCATGGAGCGTCCTCCGAAGCGATCTAAGAGCTCGGTGGCCTCCCAATCCGGTAATAATAACGAAGTAACGGCCCGAGCCAAGGGTCCCTCACAGCCCTCGATCTTAGTTATTCATAAACCAGGTTTAGGCTAAGCGCCATCTGCGCTCAGCCACCTCAAACTCGGTGAATCTGTAAATGCCTCTTCAGCGAAACAATGGCAACTCGGTCACAAAAAAGGGAGAAAACTATATCAGTTTTTTTTTTAAAACTTAATCGTGGTATTGTTAATTTGGTTCAAATTTAATTATCTGAAGAGGGATTGTATAACTTTAGTGACTACTCCTTTTCGTACAATAAAATTATATTGATGTTCTGATCAACCTCAGGGATCAGCCATTATTGATTTCATTTCCTATTTACTTAGAAGCTTTTGCCCGCGACCACATTCGGGTAGATTTAAAAAACGAAAGTAAGTAGTCTATGTGTTCTTTCAGACTATACTCTACATCTATACCAAATTTCATCAAGATCCGTATAACAGTTTAGACTACAAGCTCTAACAAACAAACAATCTTACTAATATGATGCGAAAGTTTAGATGTACAGATGTTTGTTAGAGCTTGTAGCCTAAACTGCTGAACAAATCTCGATGAAAACTGGAATAGATGTAGAGGAAAATCTGGACGAACACATAGGCTACTTTTTTTAAATTCCACGTTGAAGAAGTCGCGGGCGATAGCTATATAATTGTAAAATTCACGTGTTACAGTCAGTGAGAGGGATTTCACGGATTACGGCTGTGTGGCTGTGGCGGTACTCACACACGGTTCTCACCACGGCCTACTACGGGCTAAAGATCTACCCTACAGCGAGATTGAGATTATCAACCATTTCAAAGTGTATAATAAACCTACTCTCGTCACTAAACCGAAGATTTTAATTATACAGGTAGGATATGTTTGAACTTTTTGAGGTTATTTTTTTCTCCATTAAACGTAGAGTCGCGAAAATTTCAGAAAAAATTGTACGACGAGATAAACTCCCGCCTCTACAAAACTGTACTAAATTTCATCGAAACCCGTTCAGCAGGTTTTGCTGGCGTTTTGGGGACGAAATAAGTATTTATTGATTAACTAACTATTTTTTTTAGTAAAAGTTTAAGAGCCAATCTCTATAACGACCCATAATAGAGTTGCATTATCATGAGTCATGACTCACAATAAAAAAACTACCTCTAGTGGGGGAATCCATAAACAATATTTGTTTCGCAACATTCATAACGTTATCTTTTTTATCTATAAGACATATCCGTAGTGAATCAACACTAAATTTCTACTGTTGTGATTATTTATCTGTACAAAGACCTTCCGAGTGTTAATCACACATTTGCAATTCGATTTAACTCCTAATATGGACATATAGATCTTACTAATATTATAAATGCCAAAGTTTAGATGGATGGATGTTTGTTAGAGTTTGTAGCCTAAACTACTGAACGGATTTTGATGAAATTTGGTATAGATGTGGAGGGTAGCCTGGAAGAACACATACGCTACTCACTTTTGTTTTTTTTTAATTCCACGCGGTCGGGGTCGCGAGCGAAAGCTAGTATGATATATTTTAACGGATTATAAGATGAAATAGACAAAGAATATATATTTAAGGAGATTTTAGGAGATGCCTTTTATTCAATGAATGTCAATTTTTGCAAGTATAACTGTCAAAGCAGCGCCATCTCCGGGAGAAGATTTACACTATAGAAAAAATGGCTTACAACAGCTCACAGTAAATTAACGGATTTCTTTTAAATTAGCTACTAAATAAGTCAAACATTAAATAAGGAAGCACAGATATAAATTAGCCATTGTTAAAATGGTGTTTATGTTAAATACAACCCTTATGGTGACAGATATCTGTGCGATATTTACAGCCTTACAAATAAATCTTACTAATCTTACTTCTTACCTCTTACTAATATTATAAATCCGAAAGTTTAGATGGATGGATGGATGTTTGTTAGCGTTTGTAGCTCAAACAACTGAACGGATCTCCATGA